CATATGAAATTCAATGGTAACTTCAGTTTCAATTGACACTAGTTGGCCTCCTGCCATTCTCACTTGCTTGAGGCTTGATTTTGCCATTTTATAGGGTGCGAATAGTGTTTTTTCGTTTTTAATTTCATCGAATGTTTGTTTCGAAATTACGTTTGCACATGCTCCTGTGTCAATCAGTACTCTTCTTTGAAGGCTTGGCGCTAATCTTATTTTCATATAAGTTAGCACTGTTCCTTCGGTTGGGATGACGGCGTACAGATCAATAATTTCATCGTCTTGTACGTCTTGAATATTTGATTTGCGTGATTTTTGTGATTTAGATGATTTGACTGACTGACTTTGTGGCTGAGTTAGTTTTTTGGTTCCATTTGGAACGGGAAATTCTGTTGCTGCTGTCCCTGTGGCTTGGGTTTGTGCCAACATTGGCTTATGGTATGGCCAAACTTCCCGCAGTGATCACAGAATTTTGATCCAGTGCGAACTGCTGCTGTATTTGGGTTTTGGGTGTGCACCTGCTGCATCATTGGTTGTGCAACTTGCTGGGCAAACTGAGGATTCTGTTGTGGTGGCGTAGCTATCGCTTGTTGCTGTTGGGTTTGTTGGCCCTGAGGGTACATCTGGTTCGAATAAAATTGAGCGTTCTGTTGTGTTTGAGGGTAGTTCTGGTTTTGTTGGAAATAGGGGTTCGATTGCATTCCAGGCATCTGTTGGGGGAACTGGAACATTTGTGGGGGGTACTGCATATTTTGAAACCCGGAGAAACCTTGGTTTCCGTATCCCCCATCATTTCTCTGCTGTCCGTTCTTTTTTCCTTTACCAAATCTCCCCTTTCTTTGATTGTATCCTTGTTGCCCATTCCCTTGATAACCATTCCCTTGATTAGGGCCAGAAGTATTGCCCTGATCAGGGCCATTTCCAGTTCCTTGATTTTGTGCATTGTTTCCTTGATTTTGTTGTTGGGCTTGATTATTATTCCCACCAGCGTTTTGGCTATTCAGTTGAGAGCTCTGCTGTGTGTTTCCGTTGTCACGTTGTGGTCGTGACTGGATCATTTTTCTCTGATCCGATAGCTCACTACGGACTTCGTTGAGTTGTTTCTCAATCTGTTCCTGGGCTGTTGTTAGTTTCGACAACGCACTGATTAGGTTGTGAGAAACTGTATCTCCAATTTCATTGAAACTATCTTCTGGGTAATCCTCATTACGACAGACGTCTCTAATTGTCATTTGTTTGCGCGCCAGGTTACAAAGCTCTTGTACTGTTGTGGCAGCTGGTTGTTCCATCATCTTCGAACGGAGCCAATTGGGCATGCCTTTTATAAAAAGACGTTTAATTTGGTTGTTCCTATGATCATTTTCAGCGTCAAGTCGTTCTTGACGTTGTGCCGTCTCTCTATGGAAGCGCGCTGTGTCTGCAGCGGCTGCAGCGTCTGCCAGTGCTCCGTCGATTGGGGCAACCGCAGGTAGATCCGGTGTAGGGTAGGCTCGCTGTGCCTTTTTTGTGAGGTTGACCAGGTAGTTTTCTGGTGAGTCTCGCTTGATATCGAACTTCGATTGTTCGAGTTTTAGAACGTGGACCTCTTGCAATTGAGGGTTGCAAAAATGATCGCGTAGTGCCGCTAGACTAAGAGGTACGTCGGCTCTTGTTAGTGCTGGCAGTGTCTGGTAGAATCGCAGAGCGCTATCTCGCAGGTGCAATTGTAGAAAATTCGCTTGCTGAGCATTTGCGATTCCCGCAACTCCAACGTATCCTTGGAAAAGTTGTTCGAATTGGGCGAAATCTTCGTTATCGCTTCCGCCAAACGGTTCGACTGAGATTTGAGCGTGCGCCATCTTATCACAGTTATATGATTGTCAAGTCTGATTCAAAAATGATTTCAGATGAATCAGTCGCTATTTTATAGTGGAAATAATTATTGCCTAGTGGGTTCTTAAATTTTAAGGACGTAATTATCGTCTCTGAGAAAATATATAGTTAGCTCGTACTATGATTAGTTACGAGTCGGAGTTAATTAACTCTTGTTGCTATATTTTTTAAACTTTCTACTTTTTAAGTTAACTTGTCTTGCGGCTTTAATATTATTCCACTATTTTTCTTTTTGAAATTTGGTTAGACTTTAAGAACTGGATAGGTTTTCAGACGGTTCTCATGGATGATTTCAAATGACTAGTTTCAAATGAGCACTCATCAATTTTACTTTAAGCACCGAGAGTTTTAAGTTTTAACTAACTGTTTTTGTACACTGTATCACTTTCCTGGAGAAGTGTAGTAGTTGTCATCAACACAAAACAGTTTTTGCCCCGCTTTTCTGCTGTTTGAGCCAGTTACTGCCGTGATCTTGTTTCAGCTTGTGGCGTATGGAAGTCGTCTTGTGGTGGATGTCGTCTTGTTTTCACTCTCACTTTGCAATCAGCTTCAGCTTGTCTTGAAAGGTTGGTAACATCATCCCACTCATAGTCGCCATGTTATATACCTTTACTGGCTATAATCGATTGGTTGATTGAGGAATGCTTTCTAGAGTGTTGAAGTATGTATGTATGTTGGATGTGTGGTCTAGGCTAGTGAATCTTCAACTCAGGGATGCGCTTTGTGATGTCAGTTTCAACCTTCGCTAGTGTCTGAGCTTAAGATTAGAAGTGAGTGTTACTAGTTGAATTGTCTCCTTTTAGCGAGCTCCTGATTATAATGGCTCTCTCAATTATACTGAACATTCATCAGTTTATTGTTTACATTAAACAAATATCATTTAACACTTTCACATTGACATTTAGAATAGCAATTGAATATTTAATATGCTCCAATTATGGTAACTAGTTAAGAATGACTAACATAGGCGAGTAGCACTATGTTACAGTGCGATAAAAAGAATGAACAAAAATCCATCACTTAAGCATATTCGACAGTCATTAAAAAATAGGCAAACTGGACAACAGTTTTTTTTGAAGAAAAACAACAAAGAACAAAAAAAATCATAAGAAAAATATGAATTTTTTAAAATGTTTTTTTTTTGCTGACATTTTTTGAGTTTTTGACTCTCGAAATGACGTTAATAAAACTCCAAAGACCAATTATACTCGAAAATTAAGCAAAAATAAGCTATTGCAATTACCCTATGTTAAGCATAAATGAGCATGCTAGCTCGCTTCACTCGCTCGAAATTAGACCAAAGACCAATTAGACCAAAGACCAATTAAACTCGAAAATTAAGCAGAAATAAGCTATTGCAATTACCCTATGTTAAGCATGAATGAGCATGCTAGCTCGCTTCACTCGCTCGAAATTAGAGGAAAAATGAAAATTTTGCACTGGTTTTCCTCGACACTAGAAAAAAATTTTGGGAAATGGTAACACCTTTCAATTGCGATTGAAAGGGCTTGAGTATGATATATCATTCGACCCATTCCTATAATTTTATTGGTACCTGATTATGCGTGGAGAACAAAAAAACTAAAACACACACGAATACAAAATTCATCCACACTTTTCAAATGGTCGGAACAATAAAATCTTAAAACTTACAAAAAAAAAGTTTCAACTGAGCAAGGCCAGCAACAAACAGTAAACTTATAAAGAAATAAGGCCTCAACTCAAATCATTCCCTGGCTGTTAAAGTTGTCATAAAAGAAAAAAAAAACATTTTAAACTTCACGAAGTGCAAAGTAATTATGGCGTACGCTGAGTTTTTCATCCCTTTTTTAGATTTCCAGAAGGGTTCAACTGTGGATCACATGAAAGCTGCATAGGTCCAGATTTGAAGTGAAAAAATCAAGAAGTTTCATTCAGCGTGGAGAAAAACTGGTTCGAAAATGTTGACTGAGACATAAATTTAGCAGTTTTTTTTAAAATTTTGTCGACCTTTATTTTTGGTCGACTGTGGACTAAATTGATTTTCTGAGCTCTCCCAAACCACTGAAGACACTAATTTGACCAAATTTTTGAAAAAAGGCAAAAAAAGGCGTTTTTAGGCACTTTTTGGAAAATTTGGACCAAAAAATCGCGTTTTTTCAGCGCGCCCACCCCCTCAAAATTAGTATAGATTTGCGCCAAAAAAGCCTTTAGAAAATTTTTAGGGTCCGTCAATAAATATGGATATCTCAAAATATATCAAAGGGATCGGCAGGGGGTCGAATCCCTGAAGGGGGGGCGTCCGCCCCCCGCTTAAATCCGTTACTGATTGAAATGGTGTATATACGATATCACTTTCGACCATCCTAGCTTCTTACAATACAAACACGATGGCTAAATTCGCACCAATGGCGATAAAAAAATGAATGACAATGATTGAAAGCAAATGAAAAGACAAATGAAAAATTGAAAAAGGAAATTCAACAAATCGTTTGTCAATTTTTTAACATGCAAAAAGAGCCGCAAAAAGTTTTGGACGAAATTAACTTGACCATTAAGAATTAATTTTTTCAAAGAGCATTCCGAATGCTAGACAAGCCTAACCTTAAAAAACACCCTTTTTGCCGGAACAGTTTGCAAAGAAAAAATGCTCGACTGGAATCGAAATACCGGGCTTTGTTGTCTCAAGCATGGGTTATACTACTGAGCTTATACTATAATTAATTTCTATAAAAAAAAACAAATTAAAACGTTGTAAATAGTTATACTTTGTCTGATCGTTACAAGCTCCATTACTTGCGGAGTATTTGAAGACCGGTGAAGAGATCATGATAGCTTAACTTCTTTTGCGAACTAAAAACAAGTCTTTGATGTTCCAGTTACCATAAACAGTAATGGCCATTACTTTTTGTGACAGGTCGCCAAAAAAGTACAGAGTACACAGATTATTCTTTTATAACTCCCATCAATAATTTTCTTTTTGATAAGAAAAAACAATTTACTGAACATGTTTAACAGTCAAAGAATAAAATCAAAGACTTGGCGAAGTCAAGACCCATTAAACTTCAGACTAATGATAAAATTATATCATGAAAAACAAAAAGTAATTTATTGTGGTTTTCGAAAAGCCGAAAATCAAGCTTCAGTAAGCATCAAGATTAACAAACACAGTGACTATTCAACACTCAATCGAGTAATAATCAATGCAAACTATTATACCATCTGAAAACCAACACACGTTTTTGTAACTTTTCATTCGAAGCTCAGAAAAAACTCGCATCTTTCTCGACGCCACATTCAATTCTCCGGTTGTGAATTTAATTATGCTCTGTGGTCACACCACGTTCGAACAACTTTATCATTTACATTTCTTCAGCGCTAGCAGAGAGCAAAACAAGAGCCAAAAATTTGGCATATAACTGAAAAAAGAGCTTCGAACTTTTAGTTTTCACTCTATCATTTGTCTGCAAAAAGAGCCAAACTAAATTAAACCACCTAACGTGACCAAACGTATTTTTGGATTGTAAGTAAAGATGTCCCGAGCAGCCCGACGAAGACCTCAGATCCCGAGCGACAGCGAGGAAGAAGAGATGTCACTGGACAAGAAAATGAGCCAGAAGTTCGCTGGAAAAGCCGAACCCAAAGCCGACAACACAGCCACTGAGCAGAAACCTAGGGTTGGTACTTCCCAGGTCCCATATTATATCTCACTATCAATGGCCTTTTCTCCAGTAGTTTAGAATACTGATTGATCAACCTAATATGAGCAAATCAATTGCTATAAAACACAAGAAAGAGCCATAGTCTTTCGAGAGACATTTAGGGTGTCGGTTTGCCACCCTATTTTTCTTTAAAACACTCCAAATATTTTTTGTGACAATGAACGCTCTTTCATGAATGGTGTTTCTAGGTAGTAACCAACAATCAGGTAGCATCCAACAATCAGAACCAGGACTTCTGCTGTTGGAAGTGCGACAAGAGCCTGTACGGGTGTCGATTCGTGAACAAAGATGCACATCCCTACTGCGTCAAATGCTACAATGAAGAGTTCGCTAACACGTGCTTTGCCTGCAAGGAAATTATCTCCGTAGACCAGAAAGACTTGGCATTCAAAGACAAACACTGGCATGAGAAGTGTTTCAAGTGTAGCGAATGCAAGAAACCCCTCAAGGACCAGTCATTTGGGTTCCAAGACGGGCAGCTATACTGTAGCGAATGCTGGGACAATAACTTCGCGCCCAAATGCACAAAGTGCCAATTGCCATTCAAGGCGGGATCCATGAAACTCAGTTGGAACGGGGGCGAATACCACAAAGAGTGTTTCTGCTGTGCAGAGTGCGATAAGGCAAGTCAATCACACGATTAATTAGAACCCTTCTTTCGAACTCATGAACTCTAACAATTTAGACGTCGAAAAAATAAATACAAAATGATTAAGTTTGGTTTGGTTTTGTAGGTCATAGGACAAGAGGCATTTCACCCTCAGGAGGGCAAGCCATACTGCGAGGACTGCTGGGAGAAAAACTTCGCCATCAAGTGCTCTAAATGCTCCAATCCCATCAAGCAGGGAGGAGTCACTTACAAACTGGAGCCATACCACAAGGAATGCTTCACTTGCTTCGAGTGTGACAAGAGTCTAGCGGGACAGAGGTTCACTTTGAAGGATGACAAGCCCATCTGCCCAGACTGCTATGGGAAACTGTACGCACAGAAGTGTTTCGACTGTGGCGAGGCAATCACAGGCATGGGTGGCAACAGGTAACACCAAAACACTAGATCTAAGTTCTGTCAGATAATTTATGACTCATGCAAACATTTTTTTGACATTAAGTCAAGCAAAGAAACTAGACGTTTAATCAAAAAAACGAAGACATATATTTCTTGAAACTTAATTATATATTACAGTCATTTCCGCGAACAAAAGGAAAACTATCAAAACAGCACTCAAGGTTAAAATTAGGGTCCGTATTTTGGTCTAACTGTTTCGCAAAACCTGAAAAAAAAACGGCAAACAATAGTCAAAACCAGAAAAAAAATAGAGAAAAAAAAGAAACTCTGATTTTTTCCAGGTACATCATCTTCGAGGACATGCAGTGGCACACCAACTGTTTCCACTGCAAGGACTGTCAGGAGTCGCTAGTGGGGATCAACTTCGTGGCCGAGGGATACGGGGAGGACCTGGAGATATTTTGCCAGCCGCACGGGTTCCAGAAACGTGGCATGGACTTCACCACGATCAAGAAATAGACTCACAAAAGTGTCGATTAGAAACCCAACAGATATGGTTATGGCTGAGTTGAGCTGAGAATAATAAACTAGAGACTGTAACTTGTAAAAGTAATTTTGGAGCCTGTGTACATAAGGAAACGGATTTTTACGATTTGTACAAAAATTGAACTTATAATTATTACTTTTATAATAAAATTTTGCAACAAAAACAATCAATTTTTGTGATAAAAACTTTCAATAGCCTCGAAGAGTCCGAACATTTCACTTCTTAAATGAAAAAGAGACGAACCTTAAATGTTCAAAAATATGGTTCAAATCCAAATATGTAGCACAACCAGATCGACCAAGGGATAGCTCTGAAAGCAAAAAATGACTTCTCGTTCGAAAACGACAAAATTAATCAGGGATAGCCGGTTACTGTGCAAATAGCACAGAATGTTCCCACCATAGTTTTTTGAAATTCATGTCTTTTTTTCTGCCCAGTGTGATATAAGGATCTGAACGAAAAACTAGACCTTAGGCATATTCGAGAACCGTATTAAAATCAGCAAATTAGGCAACAGTTTTGGTAGAAAAACCACTAGAAAAGCAAAAAAAAATTTTTTTTGAAAAACTCAAAAAATTTGATCAATTTTTCTTTCAGAACTTTTTTTGAAGTTTTGAACTTATAAATTCTCAAAATGGCGCCGAAAACTCCAAAAATAACTTTAATTGATTGAAATTAAGTTTTTACGGCTTAAATTAAGCATAATAAGCTATTGTAATCCTGCTCGCTTGCTTTACCCGTTCGAAATTATACAAAAAAAAAACAAAAATTTCTCGAAACTGAAAAAACGTTTCAGAATTTTTTAAGGTAGTTCGATCACGACTGAAAGAGCTTTAATACGATATATCACTCAACTCACTCAGATAATTTTTCTTTGGTAGCTGATTTTGCTTGGAAAACAAAAAAAAAACAAGGATAGCCGGTTACTGAGAGAGATTAGGCATATTTGACATAGTAAAACAAGCAAAATGAAACCCAATTTTTGTAGAAAAATGAATAGAAAAACGAAAGAAAAAAATCAAAAAAAAACTTCAATGTAGAAAAATGACTAGAAAAACGAAAGAAAAAAATCAAAATTTTTTTTTAGTTTTCGTAAATTTTCGAAGTTTTTGATTCCAAAAAGGCGCTTAAACACTCAAGTAAAACAAAACTTTTATATTTTAAATCAAGCAATTGTAAGCTTTTAAGCCATTACAATAAGCTTTTATAAGCCTGCTTGATCGTTTATTTGCTTGAAATAAGACGACAAACCAAAAATCTCAAAAATATTTTTCTCGACATTGGGAAAATCTTTCAAAATTTAAGACAACTTTTCAATGGAACTATGCAAAATTGCGACTTGAATAAGAAAAGTCTCGTACAATTACACAAGGCTTGTAAAAGGCGCTTCGTTTATGAATAATCATGTAGAAATAAACGTGTATAAAAACTAATTTTATTGCTTAAATGTTATTCTTTAAACTCGATTTACTACTATTAAACTGTTTTACAATGAGGGAGTACTTCTTTTTCGTTAGTTTTTTTTATTAGCGCTGTAGTTTAATAATAACTAATTTCGGCGACCGGAATAGTAATTTTCCATTGAAACTTTTATAACTTGATGAAGATATCGCCTGCATGAGTTCGATTTAAAAAACGCCATGTTCAACTTTTCAAGGGCTAGAAAATTGCCCAAGTGACGACTTAATGGTCTGTTTTATGCGGGGACCGACTTTACCAGACCGACTTTTTAAAAGAAAAGTTATAACACGGACCTTTTACCAGACTCGATAAACAAATTTGATTGAAAGATGTAATGGGGACATTTAGTCTGGTTAAAGACAATGTTTTCACGGTTTCCCAGCGAAGTTTTCTTAGTTCTAACCGCTTCCTTTTCCAGTAATTTAAATGTATCTCAATTGAATTATTGAATTGTGGTCTGGTAAAAGGTCAGTCTGGTAAAAAAACCTAGCCCTGTTTTATGCGTGCTTTTAGAATTCATCAATGATGCTTAGCGTAAGCTGCGATTATTTTGGCGCGGCAAAAATTCTGCACTCACGAATATTCCAAATTTAACTTAAGCCAGCTAATTGGTCTCATTAATTCCTTTCAAGGTCCGAATTAAAACACCCAGTACGTGATATTCGCTGAGAGGTCGGAAAAAGAAAAGAGACATTTCAAAATTACGGTTTTTATAAAATTTATGTTAAATCAAAACTTCTCAAAAAGCACTTTCGATCCAAAAATGTTGGCTAAAAATTTTAAGCAAACGACCGGATATAACTTATTTTGGGATGATGCAGAAAAATTATTTAAATAAATTAACACAAATATTCTCCTACATTGAAGCCAATTATTACACAAAGCTTAAGTTGAGCTTCGGGCCACTACCGATAAATCAAAAACGCAAGCCAGCCGACGGAAGTCATCAAGTCGAAAAAAGGAAAAAAATCATTTAGAGGAAAACATAACAAAATTGTTAGTCAGCAAAGAGATGTCGCAAAGTGCTGTTGAGCCGCCAGAAAGATACAACAACCATTGAGCAATCAAAATAAATTTCGAAGTCCCCAAAGCCTAAAATATGGTTCCACCCTTCAAACGACGTAATCGGAGACGACTAAATAAAGTTTAAAAAGAACGGGTATTCAAAAAGCAAACATGCTTAACAAATCTATGTTGGTGCACGCAGGTCTGTTGAGAGTCCTTATGTTAGATGAGTTGAGCTCTGAAGTTCAAAATGAATCAGAAAAATCAAACTGCAAAAAATCAAGCGTGAACAACTTTTAAGACTTTTCGTGATATTAAAAAGAAAAATAACAAGCTTCACCTCGCTCGATCATTGACCCTAAATTAAACAAAGGCAAAGTTGCATCTCGCAAGAAAACGCCTAAAACTAACTTTAGTCGGTTAAAAAAGAAAACAAAATGTAAGTACGTTTTGGAAAATAAATGCCCACTACGGAAATCGAGCCATATGACTCAAGTATCCATGTCGACTGTCCTATATAACTGTGCTGCTGACGCTTAAAAACCCAAATCACTGATAAAGCGGTGAACACATGCTATTAAATTGCAATTACTATTCCCAAAAATGCCACTCAAATGAGCTATATTTTATGCGAGTTGGATAGCAAAAAAGTGGACTATTAAAATAACGAAATGCTGGCAAGCTTGATAGTGTAAAAACCTGATAGTACCAGATCAGCACCTGGACTTCCTCCGAAACACTCACATTTCTAAACCACTTGCCCCGACTCTTTCTCTGCTTTCATACGTAACTTATTCTTAGAAAGAGCTACATCATATGTGTAATTAACGCAAACTTGGCGAACTAAAATTTGTGATGTGGGACTTGAAAAATGTGAACTGATTATTTAACATCAAGATCGCAAGCTCACTTGTAAAAAGAAAACCGGATTTTTGTTATTGAAGACCGACTAACACGTAAAAATAAACCAACTGACAGTTGGAAAAGAATAATGAACGCCAGGAAACTTAAAATAAAACTGACTGCTTTTTTCAAAAACCTTCAACTTTTGAATTTCGAAGAAAAAAAATGGATGGCCTTAAAGCTCTTTGAGTTTGTAGAGCAATTTATGATGGACACTTTTTCGATAAAAAATGAAACCAATTTGAGAAAACTGGATCAATGGGCAAAATTTTATTTTCGCTAAATATCTGAACACTAATTTCAATTTTTGAAATTCGAAGTCGATAACGTTTTTAGTTAGTGACCTATACACTTTTGCTGCTCGATACTGGAGTTTGCCTTCCTTTTAACAATGGAAATGCACTGAACTTGAAAAGAAATCCTAATTCAAACCGCGAAATATCAATATTGAGCGTGAACAAATTTTAAGACTTTTTTCCTGAAAAAAAATCAGCAATACCTATATAAGATTACTCACTACGTTCATTACTCTTAAAAAATTTATCACAAATTTGAAAGAACTTTAATTTGATGAAAACAAAAACTAAACGAACAAAAAAGCAGAAATAGACTTTGTTCGACACCACAATTGCTAATTAACCCTCAACAATACAACTGGTAAAAAAAGCTGGTAATATCAAAATGATAGAGCATCATTTTCTAGCTCAAACAGACCCTAGAACTTTTCAAAGGCGCACTCGACGCACATAAAAAAAGAAGAAAAATTGCGACACGGAACGCGATTTTTTTTGTCACAGGCCCCCAAATAAAGCTTTAAAAATCAGTTCGAGAACACGACAAACACAACCAAAAAATCAGCTCGACAAACTACAAAGAACTCGACAAAAAGCTGCTCTAAAAAGTGCACTAAGAAACATTTGAATAAGCCTCGAACTAGCGAAAATTCGGCTATGTCTGAGATTCGAACCTGCAATCTAGAGATTAAGAGTCTCACACACTAACCACTCAGCCACAGACGCTTAATTAGTACCAAACACTAGCCACAAATAAAGCAGAGAACAGATGATACGCAATTTCCAACTCTACAGTAAATTTTCCAAATAAGTGAACACAGAGTTTTCGAGTTAGTAGAAGGTTCGTAATAATACACTACGCTGAGCGCTAGTGTAATAACAAAATGCTTGCAAACTATTGTTTTTGTTGTGTTTCAGCAAAGCACCAAAAACAGAAATAACAGGCCTACAAAGCTGAAAAAAATTCCAAATAAGATTCTCGTTAAAAAATACTTTGTACTCCACTGCCAACAGTAGAGGTGGAAAAAAAGCCAAATATGGGTAGCACCACTTATCACTTGATCATTAGCTCGTTAAAAATTACAGCAAATCAGTTCAACAGGCAGGATATCAAGTGATATAAGCAGAACCCTGCGGCCGATCAAGGAGAATAAGCGAACGCGAATTTTCAAAAGCATTAAGAAAAGCGGAAAAACGGTTTGAATTTTCAACCCCAAGAATGTTACCAAAAATGATCGCACGTAAATTTTTTCCTCTGAATAAAAAACTTCATGCATATAAAATCCTTTGCGTTCTTCGAAAGTCGGAAAAAGTCTGTTCTGAGTTTTTCCCCATTGTGAAAAAACTTCCATAGCAAATTATGCGAAAAGTATTAAGCGAATAAGCGGTGCATTCAGATAGGCGAAAAAGCGAAAAAAAAAATTTGAAAAAACGGCGCTAGCGAAACGCTTAATTAAAAAGGGGTGACAATACTCTGATTCAAATATGCTTAATAATTCGAAACGTGTCGACATGCCCCGTTATGAAAAACTGATGACATAAAAAACTGGCACTTCAACTGTAACTTGTAATCATATGTAGTGAAGAAACTTACTGATATTTTAATGGCAGTATTATCCCAGTAGAGTCTAGTGGCCTCCGCTTGCTTCCTCTGCTCCATAATATACGCCCAAAAATTATCCCATTTGTCACGTGCGGCCATAATGACCCCGTGTTCGTTCACGAAGTTCGGGTAGCAGTCTGCCAGCTTAGCTAGCATGTCTCTATAGAACACGACCCTGGATATAGGTCGCTCCAGAAGTCTGTAGAGTAGCTGGTGCATCGGTGGATCTTTTTCCTTGCCCCCTGTTGGTCCGGTTAAATCACACATGCACTTTTTGTGTTTCTCGAAGAAGGCAACTGCCACGCCCAACGCACAGAACTCGAAACTTCCGATGCAATGAGCGTCACAAAATAAAGAGAGGAACCTGAAACAAACAAAACAAAACCTTCAACAAAACAAAACCTTCAACAAAACAAAACCAGGGGAGCAGCGGTGAAGTGGTTACGTCTCCGCCTCTCAATCGAAAGGTCGGATGTTCGAGGCCCACCATGATCCGTGCTCGTTGCTTGAGGGTGAGGCAACATTACCCAGCCCAGAAAAATAACCAAAAAAATTGCATGTAGTTCTTAAGCAGGGGCACAACAGCGGTTCGCCGTGATGAGCTGTACAGCTCGTATGTTGGTCCCATCCCTCGTGGATGAATGATCTTAACAAGTTAAACAAATTTTTACTGATAATTTTATCTCACATTAAGCGATGGGAAAATGCAGAGCAAAAAATGCGTTTGAAAAAAAACCTCGAATTCGTTTTTTTTCAATTTGCGGATAGATCTTTCTGAGATTTTGGGATTTTTTTCGAGAAATGTCAACTCGGTTAGACACTGGCGTATCAAAGTTCTAGCGAAAGGATAACTATCGGCAGCATTTTCAGGTTATTCTCGCTTGAACATTTGTTTTCGTCGCTTAATCTTTACACTAGTGGTCAATGAAACCGCGGTCACATTGCATTAGAAAACCAACAACTGCTTGAGCCTGCGTGAACTAACTTTATGAAATGCCAAACATACCAACACAAATAAAAATCAAGTCAAAAATGAAGCCATCAATTGGTCTCTTAGTATTGATATCTGCGTTACATGATAAAGTGACGGTATCATGGTAAAAAGAAAGCGGTATTTTACATGCACAGATTCTAATCAAGGACACTAAGCTGTTCTCCCTAAAAACAGAACAGCATCTTAATCGTTTTCTTAATGGTAAATTAGCTAAGGTTAGCAATTTGCAAATTTTATCTAGGGATACGTACAGTGAAGACTTTCAGGGATTCGAATCCCTGACTACCCAAAGTTTCCCTTGTGCTATTTTAAGACATCCATTTTGACTGACCCGCCCTATTTTTTTTGTTATACGGCGCCAATATATCAAAGACAAAAACGGAATATATATGCAGGGGTTTTCCGATCCTTTCAATTTTGGCAATCAAAAGGAAAACTTTTTCAAAAAACAATTGTGATAAACAAATGATATTATCCAACGAGGAATAATTCTTGCTTTCAAAAATGGAGTAAACATCTGATTGGCTAATGCAAATATTACTGCACGATTGATAACCAAAAAACCAGCTACAGTTCACATTTAATTTAGTTAATGCGAAAGAACTGCCGTTTCACCGCTCATGAAGAACCCAAAAAAAAAACATTTATAATACGCTTCATTATATAGAATCAGAGGTGTTGACGATTTTTTGGAATTCCTATCTTAAAGTCTTTGTTAAAAAACCGAAAAAATCACCAAACCCTACAAATAATTTTCAATCGAAGTTAGAAATCAAATCAAAAAATGATTTAACTCTCCTGGTATTCCTGATACAAAAAGAAAGTCACTAATTTCGATTTATGAACTTAAAAATATTAAAAAGTCCGTTTGTTGTTACAAATTTGTAACTACCTTCCCATTTTTTTTATAAACATAGCTAATGATTGAAACATTCGATCTGGTCAATCTGCCGCAATTAAATTTGAAATCATTTCCTCTAAAAGCATTCCGAACGCTCTTAATCTTTTCATCTTAGCTCGAATTAGGCAAAAAAACTTTTTTGAGATCGCAATTTTTGATATCAATTGTCTCTTATTATTTATTGGTGGCAGCACTTAATCCACTGTATGTTTCACTCTCAGCGCTTCCTGGAGAAACTAACGAAACTGGCCGATTGCGATTAAATAAAGGTTTTTTGAGGCTTAGTATCACTCTTCCACACATTCCAGAAAAAAAAACAAGAAGAGCAGGTTGCTGGAGAGCAGCACAGAATCACAGAACTTCCCGACCAAATTCATAAAACCTACAAAAAGAATCAAAAAAATTATTACTTCCCAAATTTTCAAAGCAGCAAAGTTTCTTGAGCATGGTGCCATGAGAGAATTATACACAAGCGCCTAAAGCTAGTCAAGTAGGCATAGTCAACAACAGTCGTATTCAAAATAAGAAAAACAAATAATAAATGGAAAACATTTTTTAAAAAGTTCTAAAACAGTTCTTAATTTTTGGAAAATATCTTTCAGAAACTTTTTAGAAAAGTTATATTGCCAACCAAGCGCTAAATTAAGCTTCCTGAAGTCGATTTCTTTTAGAAAAGTCAAGGCTTTAGCCTTAAAAACAAACATAATTTGCATGTAACGAACGTTACACGATCGCTTAAATGGCTAAAAAAACTCAACGTGGTTTTTCTCGATAGTGGGACAACTTTTTTGACGTCGTTCGAATCACGATTGAAAAGGCTGCAAAATTTAACCCATTCAGATTATTATTTGTCGTACCTGGTTTTGCGAGGAAAACAAAAAAAGAAGAGAAAACTAATACACACCCCAATACAAAATTCCCACCATTTTTTGATCGGAACAATGATCGACCTTCTGCATCTTCGTCAAGATTGACAACAATCGAACTTTTCTGCAAATCTCGACGAAGCTGAGCGAAACTATCTCGAGCTGACCTCAGATTTTTGGTTTAAAAGTTCTGAAGAGCCAGACCGCATCAAATGATACGTATCAAATGATACATAAGCGACAAAACGACAACAAGCAGCTCTAATAAATATATATAAGAGAAAGAAAGAAGCCTCGAATAAATAAAAATTTTGCTATGTGACAGTTTCGAAACTGCGACCTAAAAATTTGGAGTCTCACCTTCAGAAATTTGCGCCGCGGGTCATAGAAAAATTCATAACAAAAGATACAAATGATGCAGCTATAGATGCTAATACATTTTCAGGGCTATGTAGCAAAAACGCCACCATAATTCAATAAAACTAGTGCAAAGTGCAGCGTTGAACCTCTGACAAGTAGCTTAGGAGTACCACGTCCCTACATCTCAGCCACGGACGCTTGACTAACGGCAAAAAGTAGCCAACAAAAAAGCAGAGAACAGATGCTATGAAAGTTCCAAGGCTACAGATTTCCAAAGCAAAAGGGCCGCCAAGTAAGTCAACATTTAATGAGTACTTTTATTTGCTGCTTAGATTGGAATATAAATTTGAATCGTGCTATCACAGTACGCCTCGCTTGTGTAAACACTGAGCAACCATTAATTAATATAATTGTATGCCATTCGATACTTCTGATAACAAGATACTTCTGTTCTCTCGCAAGAATTGGAGTACATAATTTGTCTAACGACGATATCCCAAAATGAGTTCCTTTAAGATGATTATTAACAGAGAAGCTCAACAAAAATAGCATGGCATCTAGCCAAAAAAAAAACGGAAAGCCAGAGGCGAAAAAAAACATAGGATTCTGAATACGGTTAAATTTCAGAAAAAAACTACTGAGAAACACAACTGCCAGTGTTACATAAGCATCAAAAACAGCAAACACAATACTTGGGTAGCCGAATAGCCATAAAAAATTCCCAAGGGTCACTATCGCTCTGGAAGCACAGAATTTTTTAAAAAAGATTCTTCAAACGATGAATAATGAGGCAACTAAACAGATATAATATCAGCCGCAACTATTTAAGCCAAAAAAAAACGAAAAAACAGGAAGCAAAAAAAAGATAAACTAAACAAGATTTGATTGACAGCCATGAATGGAAATTCAAATAGAACGGCCCCTTAAAATGCACAGATCACAAACTGACCAATTCAATCATCAGAAAACTGACCATTTTGCTGACCTTTTTCAGATAAAACTAGAACCCTGAAAAAGGTTTTGAACGTCAAACGTTGAATTCCAATGAATTATTCATTCGAACACTGAAGAAATGACATTATTCGAGTCCTGCTCTTGTCTGAACAATCCCATCTTTCTGAACAACAAACAGACATTGTGCATTTAAGTCGACTTCTCCATGTCAGACCACTGAAAGCAAGGAAAAATTGGGATTTCTGGCAAGTAAAACGTCAATTAAATTATTTCTGACTTTTCTGACCACGGGTCAAAAAACTAACCAAATCTGACCATTTCTGACTGGTCAGAAAAATCTGACAGTAACCTTGAAATGCAGGCATGCTCAAAAAATATCTGTTGTCAGACATTTGTCATCAGAACAGCCATGCTAACTGATTCAATTGATTTTGTTAAACTAATTGTTAACCCACAAACAAAAGTTGATATACCGATTTCATAACGCTTGCTTATCTCAAGCGTAATACTACTAGACAAATTGTATTACTGACTTGTTGAACAAGTCGATGTAGTGCTGGGCCTGTCTGAGAAAGAGTGCCTCGCTCGGACTGCAGTCGGTCTGGAGGTCCTGGATCAACAGGGCACATATCTTTCCGGTCTGGTCCACCAGGTCACAGAAACTGTTCAGCAGAGTAGTGACTGTGGGTCCGAAGAACGAAGGCTGGACGGCCGACCGAAAAACGTCTAAAGTACAACAAACAGGGCAATAAAAAGATAGAATGATGAATAGCCTTTACTGAATTCCGACAAAAAAAATTGAATAGCCTTTACTGAATTCAGACAAAAAACATTGAATAGCCTTTACTGAGAGCAGATAAAAAAGGAATGAATAGAAAAATAAATTAGCAGTATTATACAGTGAAGAGAAAGCGACGCCGCGCATGATATATTAAAATTATGTCCAAAAAAAATTCACGACTAAGAAAAAAATGGAAGACAACAATTAGTAAGATTATCCGATAATGTAAGGGTTTTATAAAAAAAACAGATGTTGCAAGTAAAACCTAGTGCTTCACTGAAGAGCTCGTAATTCAGCACTATTCAAAAAAAGCTGAAAATTTTTCAGATAATAAAAAACTTGATAAATCTTTAACCTGTAGGAGATTAATTTTTACGAGAACGTCTAAAATTCATAAGGCACCGTGACTAAAACAACATCCAACGTAAGTTATGCTCCAGTGTATGACCCATGAGCTTCACATGGGTCATACCATCTGCCTATCTTCGAAACACAAGCCAACAATAAATCGGATAACAAACATGATAGTCAAATTAGAATTAGAGCAGTATACATATTGAAATCGAGTATATTTTTTCAGCACTAATATATGCAGTTCAGCTTGGAAAATACAAACTCGTAATATAACACAAGCGTTTGGTAGTGTTAACTAGCTAATGATATTATGGACGTATAACAACAAAATCCTCGTTGTTTTTTCAACAATCACGCAATAGAGAGTGGCTCCTCATTCTTCACCCTAAATAAAAAGCAAACACGTCAAACTGATTTTTCTCGACACTCAGAAAACGTATAAGCAATCGAATCACGTATTTGAGTATTTGTGTTAAAAAAATTAGAAGTACAAAAAAACTTAAACACACCCGAATACAAAAACCCTAAGAATTCGTGGTCGAAAATTTCCAATAACACCTAAGAATCTTTAACAGAAACTACATAAGGCTCTAACTTGGTTAAAATGCGTAGATATTCATGAAAACGCAATGCATAAAAAATCACCGAGCTCAAAATTAAGATATTCACCGGAAAAAAATCTTGTCCCTCTGTATACCATAGTTTTAGCTTGCAGCATTTCATTTAAAAAATCGATTTTAGGTGAAAACAACTTGGATGGAAACCCAACGGGAATGACAAACCAATCTCTTCAGAAACTAATTTACTTTTTGAGCAACTTTCAACAAATTTATCGGAGAGCTAATTCTGAACTGAAAAAGACATTGAAAAATGAGATTGAAAATACACATCGACAATGCGAAAATTAAAATTGAACCGATTTTTGTTCTAAAAACTACACGAGCTCAACAAGTATTTTCATGGCACACAATGATTTTTTCAGGCAAATTGTGATAGGTCAAAAATATATATTTCTTTAATTATGAAAAAAGATTAAATATTGTGCATTACTAAATATTGAACAGCAATAACATAACATTTCAGTGCGTCTAACTCGTTACGAGCGAATATCGAAGATCTAACCTACAGTTTAAAATACTCAGCTTAAAAGCCGACCAACATTAGTCTGCAGGGTTGTTTGAATTTTATATTTGATTCTTGATATAATTGATACAATTTCTTGAAACCATAAAAAAAACTTGTCAAGTGAATTTTCATTTTTATACAAACTGATGACATAATTTAGATTTATGTGTCAATACATTACTTGAGAGAGCCTCATAAGTCTAGTTTGTTTTCAAGCCTCTCAGCAAACTTAATAAACTTAGAACTATAAAACTGAAGTAAGCCTACTTGTTACATGGCATTGTAACGACCCAGACCCATAAAGACTCAAATTGACTGAATGGTCTCAAGCATTTGACTTTGCTATATATAATCAAGAATTACAAACTCGACCAAATGCATATTCATTAAACACCAATACAAACGCCTCGGGCGAAAATTTTTTGTATGACGCTTTAGGGCATTTTTGGAAAATTTTGACCAAAAGAAGTGCGTTTTTTTACGGACACCCCCAAGATTTAGCATCCAGGGGCACCAAAGGCCCTTTAAGGAACAATTCAGTGTAGGTCAGCCAAAATTAGTACCAATTAAAATAGTACCAGGGGGAAACGAGTTGCAAATTCCTGAAACTGAAGGAGAGAGAGAGAGCTCGGCCTCCTCTAAATTCGCTACAGGGGATGTATATTGCAATTGCTAAGGCGCCGCTATGATGAATAAAACTTTTAAGTTTTATATAAAAAATAGAGATATTTTTTACAGATGTTTTCACCCGATTTTCTCACCGTCTATTTCTCCACTTCTTTAGAACCATGGCCCAATGTAAAGAAAAAATTGAGATCTTCTTAGAGTCGGAAGTTATGCTGATGAAATTATATGATGAATATAAAATGATAATTTCGGCCATTTTTTTCAGAATAAATGGCCCAAAACCATTAGAGATGAAAACAGTTTAGCTGTTAATTTGATCAGAAAAATACGCACAACAATTTATGAAAGCTTTATCAACTACTTGTTGCATTATAGACCACCTTATGCATATTTATGATTTAACGTGCTTTTTTTTCTGTTTTTCACGCATCAACCTGTTGATTCAATCACAAATGTAGCCATACACTAAACATCACAATTTTGATAAATCTATCTAATTGTTGCTATAGACATGGCAACAGAGAATACATCTGATTAATTATATTTATTACACCCATCACCAATCTTCATACCATCAGCGCAGTGGTAAATTTGAAAATGCACATGCGTTTTGTTTTCTGTGTTCAACAGAATAGAAATAAAAATACAATAAAAAAGAACGAGGAGCAAAAGTACTTCGTTTATAGTGCTTATAAGATTATTTAACATAATTTAACTACATCAAACACGTTAAACACACATGATATAACTTGTACTCAAGCTGGACGTAAACTATAATTAGCTAATTATCTCGAGCGAAAGTTGACCTGCGCTTATTGTCTAGAATTTGAATACACGAACATGATACCAAAAACCCATATGAAGTTTTAATGCAAAACAATAAAATCATCAGTCACAATGAAAGCATGCAACATGCCAAATTACAACGACCGCGCAGGAATCCGACGCGTTATATGAAGTGGATCAGTTTTTAAAGTTAACCCAATTACGCGATGATACTTTAGACGGCAGATTAATGAAAATTGAGTTATAATGAACTTTGAACAAAAAGAACAGTTTCTCCCCTTTATTGGTTTCGAGAAGATATCGTTCACTAGGTTAAAGGATTTTTTCAGGCAATCAGAAGTCGGCATTTAATTTTCGCGGGGAGATCGATCACTTGGTTACAGGCACTCTTGTTCAGCAACTCAGAAATCAGCATTTTCTACGATAGCTTTTTTCCGAATTTGCACTTTAATTTAGGGTGCGATCGATCACTTGGGTAATTTAGGGGGAATTGTTCACATTTCACACAAGATAAGTTCGTGTTACCTAACTGTCAAAGTGCTAATAAGTTTACCAACTTCAGATCACATTTCCCATTTTGGCCGCGGTCACTAAATTTACCTTATATTATTTAAAACAAAACATCCACATATAAAAACTTGAAAAAATTCGAATTTTAATTCCAAAATATGGCCAAGAATATACTAGCATCAAGACGAAGCATTTATTCTCCCCAACACGAAATCATTCACGAAATCAAAGTGCTACAGTTTGCGTCTATTGAGACATTGTTAGGAAGAATTATAGCAACCCTGTACTCCCCTCCACCCACATGATCGCATAATCGAATAGGTAAAAACAACTGGAAACACAACAAAATTTCAATCAGATACTGAGTTGATAATTTAATTATTTTCAAAAACTAACTTAGAACCCGGTTTGAATGAAACGAATCAGCAGTTTAGTAGAAAACTTTTTGAATGTGAACATGAGAAATGAGGTTCAAATCCCGTATAACTGAGCAAACTTCGACAGTTTAGGGCATGTTCCACTTAGCTGTTCAACTTCGACAAAACGAAGCTTCCAAGTTATAGAAAATGCAATAGCTCTCCTTCAATGATCTTAATTTTGATAGCTCTTCCGGACCAGTCATACAAAACTTCAAAAACCCTACAACTTCAAAAAAAATCTAAATAAGGTACTTTTTTATGCTGGAGTGATGCAAAAACTGATTGAACTCGAAGAACAGTAGTGAAAAAGACATAATCGACAACAGTTGTCTTAAAAAAAACTGCAAACAAAAATTTAAAAAAAAACACAGTTCAAAATTTTTCACATGAAAAAAAAACAATACCGAAAACTTTCTCATTTAGTGGAAAATACTATTGAAATTAAACAATCATAATAATATTGAAAAATTTAGGAAGCGCGAAATAAAGCTTCCAAGATAAACTTTCCTGGAGTGAAATCCCGAATATTAAAATACTTGTCTAAAAAAGTTTCGTTTATAAGACAAGACCTACTCGCTCGCTTCACTCGCACAAAATTTAGAATAATTTCTGAAAATTGTTTTGCCGCTTTTTGGCGCTTACGCTATACTAGAACAAGACTGCTCGCATCAGGGCAAAGCCTTGATTATTCTGACTGCCTATTAATTGCTCTCGAATCGTATATGATAATTGGTATATGAAAAATTGACAAACTACAAACTTTAGGCTGATAATATCAAAATGATCAAATGTGAGTCCTGTATGGAATTGAAAAGACTAATAAGCTTGCCTCAATTAATTTTGGAACGATTATGAGGGCAGATATATTGACTTGCAATAAATAATTCGCGCATTGAAACAAACTATCAAAGTATTCTTCGAGCAGCAAAGCCGCACTTTAGTCAAAAGAAGCATACTTGCTTGGCTATCACAAGATTTCCGGATCGATGCCAATACAGAGTCACTTTTTCTAAAAATGGTGTGAAGAAAAAAAACACCCCGGGTATACATATTCTTCACTTTCTTTGAAAGTCGGAACAACAAAATATGCATCACTCGTTAATTATCCCAAATCAGCCACACTT